GACATGGCACAAAATGGGACATACCAAGGGGCACATGGTACGACGTGGGGCATACCAAGGGGCACATGGTACGGCACGCACCAAGGGGGGCGTATCAATCAAATGGACGCACCAAGGGCCATGACGACATGGGACGTACCAAGGGCCATGACGACATGGGACGTACCAAGGGCCATGACGACATGGGACGTACCAAGGGCCATGAAGACATGGGACGTACCAAGGGCCATGACGACATGGGACGTACCAAGGGCCATGACGACATGGGACATACCAAGGGCCATGACGACATGGGACGTACCAAGGGGGACATCCGAGCTGAGGCTGCTGGTCATGGCCACCACTCTAGATGCGTTGGGCATCACCACGGCGCCCCTGGGCCCGCGCTGCCACACCACCGCGTACCCACACGCCGCCCCCCCCTCCTCTGCCACCCCCGGTGGCGCTGCTGACCCTCCCCCTTCCCCCTCCTCTGCTCCAGTGCCCGCCTCCCCTGCTCCTGGTGCTGGCGAGGCTACCACAGCGGCATCGCAGGCGTCATGGTCCGCTGAGCGGGGAGAGGGGAGAGGAAAGGGGAGGGGCGAGGGGAGGGGGGAGGCTGAGTTTGAAGAGGGTCACATGGGGTCGGAGCTGAGGAGGCTCCTTGTCACGGCACCCCGTCCCCCCTCCCTCGCTACCACAGCGGCATCGCATGTGCGGTGGTCTGCTGAGTGGCGAGGGGTAGAGGAAAAAGGAGGGCGGGGAGGCAAGAGTGGAGTTTGAAATGGGGCACATCGGAGCTGCCGCTGCTCTGCTTGTCACGGCGCATTGCAGGTGTCGTGGTCCGCTGGGCGGGGAGGGGAGAGGGGGAGGGGGGAGGGGGGAGAGGGGGGAGGGGAAGGGGGAGAGGGGAGAGGGGAAAGGGGGAGAGGGGAGAGGGGGAGAGGGGAGAGGGGAAAGGGGGAGAGGAGAGAGGGGAAAGGGGGGATGGGAGAGGGGAAGGGGGAGAGGGGAGATGGGAAAGGGGCGAGGGGAGAGGGGAGAGGGGAGAGGGGAGAGGGGAGAGGGGAGAGGGGAGAGGGGAGAGGGGAGAGGGGAGAGGGGAAGGGGGAGAGGGGAGAGAGGAGAGGGAGAGGGGAGGGGGGAGGGGAGGAGGGATGGGGGAGAGGGGCGATGGGAGAGGTGAGTTTGAAGTGGGGCGAAGGGAGAGGGGCGAGGGAAGAGGGGAGAGGAGAGAAAAGAGAGGGGAGAGGAGAGAAAAGAGAGGGGAGAGGAGAGAAAAGAGAGGGGAGAGGAGAGAAAAGAGAGGGGAGAGGAGAGAAAAGAGAGGGGAGAGGAGAGAAAAGAGGAGGGGAGAGGAGAGAGGAGCGAGTTGAGAGGGGAGAGGGTACAACCAAATTAGGAGGCTGGCTGGGTATTCTATAATGCTGGAGCTGATGATAGATCTCAACTGTGTAATTGTGATATAGCATTTAAAGAAAAACCTGGAAATTATCACCCCCTACCCTCCGTCCCGCAACCTCCCCCATCCCCCCCACCCTCCTCTCTCCACCGCCCCCTCTCTCTCAACGCTCCCCTCCCCCATCTTGGCGTTTTCCAGGATTTCGTTCCCATGCCCGGATTTTATTTCAGCTGCCTGAACTTGCGGTATTGTAACTCAGAGTCATCATGCAAGGGTGAAGAGCGCTCACGACGGTGAAGAGGGGTCAGGATGGGTGGAGAGACTAAAGGGGCTCACGAGGAGCGCGCGTGAAGAGGCAGCCGACGGCGCAGCCCTGCACGCGCCTGTTCTCCCCCGCCGCCACCACCACGGGCTGGCGCTGCCAGTCGCGCTGCTCGCTCCCCGCGCCCGTGGGGTCCACCTCCGCCAGCCACGCAGCGCACTGCCGCCCGCGCGGGGGCGGCTGCGCGTCGCCGCGCCAGAGCGAGGGGAGGTCGGGGAGCGGGTCGTCGGTGACAAACTCGATGGAGATGCCGCCGAAGAGGTAGAAGAGCACGTTCAGCGCCAGCAGCGCGCACAGCACCGCCGCCAGCGCCACCACCTGGCGGCTGAAGCGGTTCGTCCCCACGGCGAGCGCGAGGCGGCGTTGCAGCAGCGGCAGCAGCTTGCTGCCGCGCAGGTGGCGGCCACCCACGCGCATGAGCCCGCCAGGAAAGAGCATCCGTGCTGCGTGCGGCGACGACTGCTGGCGGCGTGACTCGCTGAACTGCGACTCGATTGATCGTGGCTGGCTAGTGCGGGATTCGCTTGAGTGCGAGTCGCTTCTTCTACATAAAATGGAGCGCCCAAAATCGACGAAAGGGCTACCATGCCTTGTCTAGGTATTTCCAGGAATAGAATGTACGGAGATACCGAGTTATGCTAGACCCTAAAACAGAACTAGTTAATCTTTCACACCATAAAGACCATTAAGGGGGGATTTACTGTTCACTTTGAACAGTACTTTCCAACTCACCCTTATCCTTATCTTCTTATATTTCCTAGTGCCACGTGGCACTCTAGTTTTCTTGCCTTCCAATTCCTAGTCCCACGAACTACTTTCCGACATTCTCCCTTGCATGCAAAATCAACCTTGCTTGTATTCGCCATGATAAACTAATTCTCATTCAACTCTTCTATCACTCAGTAACTTTTTCGCCTATTTCGCCAATAGTTCTTTCGCCAGAGTTACACGCTCTCCCCCACGACATGGGCAACACGCTTGCCGATCTCATGCGCCAACTCGAACAGTTGACGTTGGAAAATCGTCAGGTACGAGCTGAAATGCAACAGCTTCGTAATTTGGCTTCTAACCCCCGTGGTCATGCCACACCAACTCTTGCACCCCACACGTCGACTAGCGCAGAAGTGTCGGAACGTCGAAACGCGCTCAAGCTGCCGGAACTATATTGTAGGCTGTAGTGGGGTAGACAATATGGGGTACAACTCTTTTAGGTTTTCATACTTGTACCCACCTGCTTGCTAGTTCATCCATTCCTCGTTATTATTCTAACATGGTATTAGAGCAGAATCGTTCCTAGGGCCCACCGAACGTTCCGCCCTGCCCTAACTGGAAAAAAAATTTTAGCTGCCCCTGCAGCCGCGCTGCCCTTGCAGCCCGTGTGCTGCCTCTGTGACCGTGCTGCCCCTGCAGCCGTGCCTGCCCCTGCAGTCGTGCCTGCCCCTGCAGCCGTGCCTGCCCCTGCGACTGTGCTGCCCCTGCAGCTGTGCCTGCCCCTACAGCCTGTGGGCGCAGCCTCTGCAACTGCCTCTGCAGCCCGCGTACCACCCTGCCGAGCCACGTGTCGCCCCTGCAGCCCGTGGGCGCTGCCTCTGCAGCCCGCGCACCGCCGTGCCGAGCCGCGCGTCGCTCCTACTCGTCGCGACGCCCCTGCGGGACCCGCGCGGCGCCCCCTCCCTCCCCCCCCGCTCGTCGTGGCGCCCCCTCCCCTCCCCCCCCCCCCCCGCTCGTCGCGGCGCCCCCTGGACGCCGCCCCTACTCATCGCGGCGCTCCCGGGGCGTCGCCCCTGCTCGTCGCGGTGCCCCCTGGGTGCCGTCCCTGCTCGTCCCGGAGCCCCCTGCAGCAGCTGCCTCGGAGCCCCCTGCAGCAGTACGCGGCGCATCAGATCAACCTCCAGCCCCGGGTCTCCATGCCGGAGACCACACCTACTCTGCGGTGGACGGGGAAGGTTGGCGATGCGTCTGCGTTCCGTGTCTGGGGATCTCGAGCTTTCGTCCGCGACTTGTCTGCGGACAAGCTGTCCTCCCGTGCTGTTCCCTGCGTCTTCCTTGGCTTCCCCCCTGACGCGCCTGGTTGGCAGTTTTACCATCCCACCTCGCACCGTGTTCTGTCCTCTCAGGACGTCACGTTTGACGAGTCGGTTCATACTACCGTCTCTTCCCCTACCGCACTGCCCCCCTCCCCCCCTCGCCGCTCTTCCTCGCGCCAGGTCCTCCCCCAGTAGACCCCCTCCCCCCTCAGGGTCCTGCCCCCTCTGGTGTATCCCAGGTAGACGCAGTCGAGCCTGTCGAGGTAGCTATTGACTCTGGTGCTGCTAGGGGTGCTGAGCCTGCGGGTGCCGGGTCTGAAGGTGCTGAGCTGGGGCTGGCGGTGCTGCTGGGGCAGGTGCTGCTGGAGGTACTGGAGCTGGAGCTGCTGGCGCTGTTGGGGCTTCTGGTGGTCCTGCTCGAGCTGGAGCTGCTGGGAGTGCTGGAGCTGGAGGTGCTGCTGGAGCCGGTGCTCCTGTGGGTGCTGAAGTTGGCGATTCTGGTGCTGTTGGAGGTGCTTCTGGAGATGGTGGTACTGCTTGAGTTGGAGCTGCCACTGGGGGTGCTGGTTCTGTCCCTGCTGGTTCTAGAGGCGCTGCGCGGCCGTGGCCGTACTACGTTCCGCTCCTTCAGCAGGTTCTTGGTCTTTCGCCTTCTATTGGTCCTGCTCCTTCCTTAGAGTGTCCACCGCCTGTCCAGTCGCAGTGACAGTTACAGCTCGCCTCCCCACTGCCTGCTCCTTCTCCTTAGACTGGTCCGACCGGAGGTCTTGCTGAGTGTCGTGAGCCCGCGTCTCGTCCTGCGTCACCTGTTCGTGCTGCTAGCACTAGTCGTCGTGGTTCGCGTCAGCGTCCTCCTCCTGTCCCTGTCACGCACCAGATGGCTCTGCGCCCTTCCACTGCTCCACTGCGTGTCCCTCTGCCGTCTCCTCCTGGGTCCTCTCTTCCTGCTCTTTCTGACCCGGAGTCTGACTCCCTTCGTGCTGCTAGTCCGACTCTCACGCGTCTACTGGCCACTGCTGTCACTGACCCTTCCTTTGGGTCCACTGCTGCGTCTGCCTTAGTTGCTGAGCTTGTCGACTTTGCTGCTCACTGTCGTCTCGACTACGCCACTAGTCATGTTGTTGAGTCTGAGCCTGTCTGTCCTCCGTCCGTCGGGGGTGAGTGTGCTCTTGGCACGGACGTCTTTGAGACAAGCAGGAGGACTTTGAGTGCTTTGTAGCCACTGTACCTCATCTCGTGTCCATGCTGATTGCACCTGAGGGAGACCCGGATGCACCAGACATCCCGACCCCGCGCTCTTACGCAGAGGTGATAGAGGGTCCCTACTCCTCTCAGTGGCAGTCAACCATGGACGCAGAGATGGCATCCTGGAAGTCCACAGGCACTTACGTCGATGAGGTTCCCCCTCCTGGGGCGAACATCGTCAGTGGCATGTGGATTTTCACGGTGAAGCGGCCGCCGGGTTCTCCGCCTGTCTTCAAGGCGCGTTACGTTGCTCGAGGCTTCAGTCAGCGACAGGGAGTTGACTTCTTCCACACCTTCTCCCCGACCCCGAAGATGACCACTCTTCAGGTTCTGCTGCACGTCGCTGCTCAGCGTGACTACGAGCTTCACTCTCTTGACTTCAGCACTGCTTTCGTACAGGGCAGCGTGCACGAGGAGATATGGCTGCGCTGCCCACCTGGCTTCACTGGGTCATTTCCTCCTGGTACCCAGTGGAGCCTCCGGCGGCCAGTCTACGGTCTCCGCCAGGCGCCTCGTGAGTGGCACGACACACTGAGGACTACACTTGCGGCTCTTGGGTTTGCTCCTTCTACTGCTGACCCGTCGCTCTTTCTGCGCACCGTTCTACATCCTCGTGTACGTCGTCGACTTAGTCTTTGCTACTGCTGACACTGCTGGACTCGCCCACGTGAAGTCCGAGCAGCACAAGAGACACACGTGCACAGACCTGGGTGAACGGCGCAGCTATCTTGGCTTGCAGATCACCCGGGACAGAGCACGGCGCACCATTACCTTGACTCAGTCACACATGGTGCAGCAGGTCCTTTAGCGCTTCAACTTCACGTACTCCTCGCCTCAGGCCACTCCTCTATCTACTCGCCACTCGCTCTCAGCTCTGCCTTCGGATGAGTCCGTAGAGCCGAGTGGCCCGTACCCAGAGCTTGTTGGCTGCCTCATGTACCTGATCACCTGCACTCGACCTCACCTGGCATACCCTCTTAGCTTCTTGGCACGCTATGTTGCTCCTGGGAGACACCGGCCAGAGCACATGGCTGCAGGGTGTTGCGCTACCTGTGCAGTACGTAGGGCATGGGGCTCGTGCATGGAGGACGGGCTCGAGTTGTCCTCACTGGTCACGCAGACGCTTCTTGGGTTGACGACTTGGCTACGCAGCGGTCGTCACAGGGTTACACCTTCAGCCTTGGTTCCGGCTCTGTTTCGTGGTGGTCTACCCGCTCGTCTTCTGTTCCCGGCTCGAGTTGTGAGGCTGAGATCTATGCTGGGGCCATGGCTGCACAGGAGTTACGCTGGCTCACCTACCTGCTGACCGACTTGGGAGAGGCGCCTCATTCTCCTCCAGTTCTGTACGTCGACAACAAGGCCATGCTGGCCTTGTGTCAGGAGCACAGACTGGAGCACAGAACGAAGCACATTGCTCTGCGCTACTTCCTTGCTCAAGAGTTGCAGCAGCGTGGTCAGCTTCCTCTTGCTTACGTGGCCTCTCGGGCCAACACTGTTGATATCTTTACCAAGGCACTTCTGCCTTGTAATCATCAGCGTTTCTGTACTATGCTAGGTCTTGTGCCTACCGGGCCTCACTTGCTTACGTCTTGACTTTGCTTGTACTGTGATCTATATATACATGCACCTGCATGCTTACCCTTGCTAGGTTGAGATCACTGTCTTGCTTGTTCACCTTGCTTTATAATCCAGCATGTGAACTGGCCTTGTGGCCTTGAACTGGTGCTGATAATGTGTGGTGACGTTGTGATCCACCCTGAGCTTGACCTTGCCTTGTTCTCTTGCTTGTCCCCCACTTTGCCTATGGGGGTGTGTCAGAACTATATTGTAGGCTGTAGTGGGGTAGACAATATGGGGTACAACTCTTTTATGTTTTCATGCTTGTACCCACCTGCTTGCTAGTTCATCCATTCCTCGTTATTATTCTAACACAACCCGCAAAAGCCTGAGTCGTTTGAATCAAGTCAACGCGACGTGAACGTGCGGACGTGACTCTTCATGCTCAACAACTTCGCTTCGAGCAGGGTGCAAGAGGCGGACGCGCAGCAGCGGATCGAGTACTTTGTTATGTTGCAGAGGGGCCCGGCCTTGGAGTGGTGGCGCCAACTTACGCAGACTGCTGTTAGAAGTGCTCAATTAAATAGGCAGCAAACAGGCGTGGAGCAT